GTGCTGACAGGAGGAGCGGAGCTGCCACCTGCTGTCTCCCCCAGCCCCAGAGAGAGAAAAGCAATGAGAAACCCCTCCCCACGGACAGGACGTATGGCAAGGCCTCGGCCCCAGGTCCTGGCCGGACAGTGACCCATCTCCGATGCATCTTCCCTTCAGCGCGCAGCAAGGCCCTGCCCCAGGTGGCAGCTGCACAGTCTCCCCAAGGTCTGCAGCCAGGCCCCCACCCTCCCCAGCCGCAGGGCTGGCAGAAGGAGCCCGCTTTGCGTGCGTCTTCCCTGGGTACCTTCGCTGCAGAAGTTCTTCTCCACGCCAGAGAAACGGATCTTCTCATGCAGCAGCTTCTCCTGCTTGCAGTGCTCGCACTGGGACACCACGCCCCGCAGCCGCTTGAAGTCCTCGCAGCAGTCCCTGCAGCAGAACTGATACACCTTATCCTGCCAAACAGAGTGCAGCCCGGGTCAGCTGTGCCAGCCCAGGGAGCCAAGGGGAACCGTGGGCTCCCGGCACAGAGCCCAAGCAGCAAGGTATTCTCCTTGGGCTGCGGGGGAGATGCCAGCCCTGCATGTCCTGAACACCCGAACAGTACAGCTCAGGGTGGCGCCTCCCACCCATAGCTGGGCCAGTTCATTCAGAGCAGCATGCTGCTGCTGCCCAACACGGCACTACCCCTTCCACCTCCTCTTCTGATCAGACCAAGGAATCTAACCAACGCTCTGTCGTCCCTCCTCACCTGCCAGTCAAGGATTTCTGGCTTCCCACTGAAGAGGTTGTGGCAGTAATGACAACTCAGGTGAATGCCCCCTTCCGGGCTGGTGTGCTGTAGGGAACAAAGGCAGAGAGCTCCAGAGTACAGAGCACGTGGAGAACAGAGCATGCCCCCTCTACCCACCAGCTGGTGCCCGCTTGTCCAGACCTACGGCATCCACTACCCAGCCTCAAGCCTGGCCACACAAAGATTCAAAGCTCTTATTGTCAGAACGGCCTATGCGTTCATATGCCCAGAGCTCCCGTACATCACAGGCTTGAGAATTCATGCCGTCTTCTCTGCACGAAGCTCAGCCACTTGTGCTTGACTAAAGCATGACCTCCATGCTGGCATCTGGGCTGGAGCTAAAGGCACGAGAGGGGGAGAATCCACCCTTTGGCCCAGGGTTCAATTGCCTTCGTGATTACTTGGGTGTGATGTTTAAGCTGAATTGCTGTGGTTTTAGCTTCCAGCCACTGGTTCTTGTTCTGCCCATCTTGCCAAGTTCAAGAGCCTTCTGATACCTGGTATTTCCTTCTTGGGACAGTGCTTATACCTGGTAATCAAGCCACCTCCTCCTTGACACACCAGAATAAAATTGTGCTCTTGAAGTCATTCAGGATTCTTCCACCCCACGGGCCGTTGCCGTGGCTCTTTCCTGCGCCTGCTCCACGGTTTCACCATCTTCCAAAGGGCCTTGGATGCCGATGGGCGCGCAGCATTCGAAAACTGGCCTCGCCAGTGCTGCACAGCACCGGCACGTTCCCCCTGCTCCTGCTCACTGCCCTCTTATTCATTTGTCGGAGGACTGCATTTGCCCTTTTAGGTACAATGGTGCATGGGGCTGGGGTGCAGCTGGCTGAAAAGGCTCTCCTCCCTACAGCCTTTCCAGAACCCTGCTTTCCAGTTTCTTTCTGCAAGTGTCTCTGCCTGTTTTGCTCTTGGGCAGCATCAGGTCAGGTGTTGGCGGGACTTGGCCTTTGACAAGATTTAAAAACACTGAGTGCGAATGAGTCCAGATGACCAAACAATCCAGACTGCTCCATACTGCTGCCGTCCCTGATCATCACTCACTTCTCCCCCCATCTCCAAGTCACCTGCAGATGTTGATCAGTCATGATTTGATATTTGTTCCTACACCATCGCAAGGATGTTGAATGGCTCCGGGCCTAAGGTGGATTGCTGTGGAACCACTTTACGATTCCTCCTTAACAGCTCCCTTCTGAAACTTGTCAGCCAGTCCAGACATACGCAGGTGCTTCAATGGCACATGTGTGTTCGTCTTGATCAGAACACGGAGCACTAAGAGACAGTATCTACAGATATTAAATCTGTGCTGTTACTGTTACCAAGCACATTTTTGATTTCAGAGGAGAGGACACCACAGTCTATTTCCCAAAACACCACATTGGCTGGCGTTCAATTAATCCATCTCCTTTAATTCTTTATTGGCTGAATTTCTGCTCAGACTTTTCATTCTGTTGCTCAGGACTGACCTCACATAATGGCCTACCATGACTTGGACCCTGTCGCGCCCTTTTGGAACAATAGCACTACAAGGCCGTTCCTCCAGTTTCCTTTGAACGTGAAGGAAATTCTAGATGTTCGGAAAATGAATATCAACAGGTCAAAGATCCCAGCCCCATCTTTCAGGGCCATCAGGTACAAGTTATCTGGGTCTGGTGCCTTTAAATGGTCAGAAAACACCTTCCAGTGTGCTCAGATGAACACCTTCCACAGCTGCTAAAGAAATGAGAAAGCATTTCATTTCTACCCTGTCCTTCACACTCAGTCCTGACCCCACAGTATGTGCTTGCTGACTGGGAAGCTCCTGACCCCACAGCATGTGCTTGCTGACTGGAGAGCCCCTGCTGCACCTCCACAGAAACACACCATGCAAGTTACCACCTGGGCCTCAAGCTGCCACAGGCTGCAGCCACACGGGCACATTACAACCAACCTCTACTCACACCCAGCCCCGGGCTAGAGCGGGACACTCCAGCCAGGTGCAGCTCTGACCATGATCCAGTGCCCTAGCATGTCTTTCCTGTGTGCTCTCCCTGTGGGAAACTGAGGAAGCTTTAGCCTCTGCTGGGACAGGTGGAGGAAGGGAGCTCTGGAGTATCTCAGTACCTGAAATTTGGTCCAGCAGCTGGGGCTGCAGAACTGGTACACGACCTGGTCTGTCTTGTTGTAATAGCAGGGCTCGGACAGGCTCTTTCTGCAGAAGCTGCAGGGTCTAGGGGGACCTGGCGAGTCAGAGAGGAGATGGTGAGTGCAGCAACCTGAGAGGCCAGTGCTAGGCTGCTTGTTCCCAAGCCCATGTGCTCTCACCCCCAGGTCTGTCTGTGGGTACAATGCTCATACACTGCAGTGACAGCTGAACTCCAGGAAAGCTCTCCAAGGCTAGATGCACTGTCCCAGGGGACAAGAGCTGACCCCTGTGAGGGAGTGGTGCAGCTCTGGCTCGCCTGGGAAAGCAGCCTGCAGTTCCCATGCCAGCTCAGTGGCACCAGGAGCCTCATGCATGCACCAGTCTTGCCGGGGCCACTGTTGTCTTCTCCAGTGGACAGGACTGTGCCAGGGCTCCCTGGTATATCTGAGCAGGGAGTGCACCAGAGGACAGGCCCCAAGCTTCTGCAAAGAGCCTGGGTGGCCCGAGCAGCTGCGACACCGGCTTTTCCTGCACTCCAGTTTGGGAGTGGGGGAATAGGGATGGCCTCCTCAGATCCAGGCTCCTTCTACCCCATAGTGCGTGACACTGCCCCCCTCCACTCTTCGTGACCTGGTGCTGTGGAGCTGGGGGAGCTCTTACCAACAAGGCCTGACTGCTTCACTTTGTGGGACGTGGTACAGCAGATGGAGCAGAAGAGGCCTGTGCGCCCCGACCGGTCCACGTTGGGCAGCATGTCAAAGTTCTTGCACAGCGTCTTGCACCACATGCAAGGGTACACGCGGGTGTTCTTCTGTAAGCACAGAGAAGAGCTGCTGCTACAGAGGCCCCAGTGTGCTTGTCCCCTCCCATTCCTTCTACCCTCAGGGCAGCTTTTCTCCAGTACCCAACCCAGGACACCCGAGGTGAAAGCCTGGGTTGCTGCACACACCCACAGCTTGCAGGTCCCCACAGCTAGGGATGGAGCAGCAGCTCACATTACTGGGCAGCCTGTGCTTGCCTCCAGACTCTGGAAGTCCACCTGGAGTCCAGACTAGCACAGGCATGCATGTGCTCTGGGTGGACACCAGGGCCAGCAGGAAGGAGCTGGGGGTCAAAGAGGACCTGGGCTAGTTACACGAACTCTACACTGCATGAGGAGTGCAGGACTGAACCAGCTCTGCACCCTGGAGACCTCGGGAGTTGCCGCTGGCTAAATGGCTGGGTTGGAGGTGTCCAGCTCACGTTACATGACTGAACCTGCTTTCCACGCCAGCTCACCCCATCCAACACCGAGCTCCAGCTGGCCTCAGAGACAGGCCTGAAGTCTGCAGTTCCAGCAGAGCAAATAGTCTCGGTGCATCAGCACTGTTTGCTCTGGAGGGACTGCAGATCTGCTGTGAAGCTTTGGCAGGTTCAGGTGCAGTAGCTGGGGCTGCTCAGTGCTGCCTGCTGTCAGAGGGAGCTCTGGTGCTGAGCGAGGGAGGTTGGCAGAAGGCCTGAGAAGGGGACGCGTTCACAGACACATTCCCCCTACCCCACCCAATGCACTCACCTTCTTGTAGCTGTTGAGACAAGCCGAGTTGCAGAAGCGCTTCTGCTGACCTTCATGGAAGAGGTACTCGAGCGGCAGCCCCTTGTTGTAGATGTAGAGCCCACAGTTGTCACAGCAATTGGTCTTCAGCCCCTTGGTGGCTCGGAACTTGGTGAAGCAGGCGTCGCTGCAGATGCGGTGAATCACGTTCCCGTTGCTGACCTCGTGCTGGATCTGCACAGACACTGGCACCAGTCACCCCTCAGGTTGGGCTGGCAGAGCCTCCTTCCACACATGTGAGGCACCCTGCAAGGCCTAGCCCCCAAGCCTGCCTGTCCCTCCAGAAAGGTGGGCTACTGCTCCAGGTGGGGAAGCTGAATGCCAGGGGGAAGCATGGGGGCAGCTGGAGGGGAGCAGCGCAGAAGCTGCATCTTTGGGCGAGTCTTCCTCAACCCCAGGTTCCAGCCATCTGAAGAGGAGCCCATATCTGCTTGTAGGCAGGAGCCTGAGTCCCAGGCTGACACCCTGAAGCAGTGCCAAATGGGTCAGGTGCTGGCAGGTCCCAGCATATGGCTCTGAGAGAAGGACCAAGGTCCCATAACCGGAATGGGAGGCTCACAGGGATCTGGCCAACTCAGGCAGCGGCACAAATTCCAGCTCCAGCTGCAGAGAGAGCAGGCAGCTTTGGAGCCCACTGAGTCAAGCACTAGTAGTCCCGGCGTTCCTTTACCTCACCAGGCTTGTGACACACGCTGCAGCGGCTGGTGTCGGAGGCTTCTGCAGGCTGAGGTGCCGGCCTCTGCTGCTGGGCCTCGTACAGAGAGAGGCAAGCCGAGGTGCAGAACTCGTGGAAAGAGCCGCCTGAGCCGATCTGGGCCACAACAGAGTCCTTGGTGTTCCAGATCTCCCTGGCGGAGAGGGCAGAAGCTGTCAGTGCAGGGATGTGCCTGCTCCAGCACATGGGAGAGACAGCTGCAGTGCAAGAAGAGCTGTCCTTCCCGCCAGGACAGCAGGGAGAAACAGTGGGCAAGGACACAGAGTGGGGGGAAACCAAGGGGAGCAGGACAGGGCTACTAAAGGGAGAGAGGGCAGGGGACTGAGAACAAGAAAGGGCATAGAGGGGAGCGGAGCCTGCTATGCATGAGCAGGGTAGGACAGGGCCTGGGAAGCACCTGGATGTGCAGATGGAATGAGACCATGCAGACAGACGGGGCAGGGGGGAGAGGGGCATAAAGGCAAGTAAGCAGGGACCACAAGAGCCGGGGCAGGGGTAGGCTAGATGGCCAACGTGGCTGTGGAGATGGGGCCGAAGGCACAGTGTGAGGAAGCAATCACATACTTTTTGCAGAAGGTGCAGATCTTCTTGCCAGGAGGTTTCTTGGAGAAAGTGGTGAGGCAGGAGCTGGAGCAGAAGAGCTGAGGGAGCCCCTTGCGCTGGTATGCTGTCTGCCCCTTCTGCAGTGGGGTGCGGCAGTGGGCACAGGTCATCTTAGTGACGGTGGAGCGGGCGGCGCGCTGGGCCATCTGCGTGCGCAGGGACATGCGGGTCGAGCGCCGCGTGCGGAATGGAACAAAGTCCTCGTCATTGGGATCATCTACCATTGCGTCCGAGTCCTCGTCGGACACTGGAACTGAACGGGGAAAGGGGGAGGCTGTGAGGAGCCTAGAGACGCACGGTGCCCATAGACAACGGGGCAGGTCCTGGGGCTGGCTTCCCTCAGTCCCTCCCAACACAGGACACAGGCAACCTCTAATAACACATCTCCTCTCTGTGCAGATGAGCACAGAAACACAGGGCTGCAGGCCCTGCCTCTTGGACACTAGGGCCGGACACATCTCCTCAGAAAAGGCCCCACGATGAAGAGTCTCCGGACCCCTGCTGGCATGGTGGCAAAGACAGACAGCCCCGACAGGACAGGCTGCCCCAGCTGGGAAGGGGGTACTAGGGAGGAGTTGTTTCCAGGGATGTATCCCCAGAGGATGCTTCATTGGTGCTTTGCATGGGGAGGCCCTGGATGGGCAGATGGAACTGAGATTATGCAGACAGACCGTGCACAATCCCAGGGGAAGGTCAGGACCAACATCCCTGTGTGCAGGTGGAAAACTGTGTGGCAGAGATTTGCCTTGGGGTGACAGGGCAGTCAGTGCCCAAGCTCTTGGGACTTTCCCCTAGGTCTGCTCACAGCACCTCTGCCCCACTCATTAGCCTTCTGCTCCCAGGCTAAGCCCAGGCCCTGGCTCAGGCCCAGCCACTTACTGCTTTCAGAGGAGTTCACAGTTTCAGGCCTCGCTGCCTCCGACCTCCTGGCTCGTTCACTTCTCTTCTGCTCCTAGAAGACACCCAGAGAACACGCAGATTAGCCACCGACGACAGTGCCCAGGGATCACCAGGGTCCTGGCTGCATTCCCCTGGAATTGGGCTGAGGCCAGGCCAGGCCAAGGTCCTAGCCAGGGCTAGGCATGTGGGGATGCTGATGGGGCCACTAGGGAAGGTGCCCTGGCAGCAGCACTGAAGTAACAGACTGAGGCCAGATGCACAGCACAGAGGAAGCCTCTGGGCCATGCTCTGCAACAGGAAGCACGCAAACTCCTTTCTACCGGAACTGGACATAGCACAGACAGACAGCCAGTGTCCTTCACTGGGGCTTGGTCATGGAGAGGGTGCTCTGGGAGCTCACAGACACAGGCACCAAGCTACACTGCTCACCTTCTCAGTTGGCTGCTCGCTCCCCTTCCCGGTCAGGCCATCTCCTGCAATGGAAACACAGAAGAGACCTGAACCCTTTCTTTGATTCTTTCCAGAAAGGGGGAAGCGCCCAGTACAGAGAAGCTGCCCTCACAGCCTCTCCGCACACCCTGGAGAGATCACAAGTCCCACAGATGAGGCTGCTTTGCACAGGAAGGCCTGGACACGGCATCACGCTTTGGGAAGAGCCCTAGACCCAGCATGAGCCAGTATGCTGTTAGGGGAAGGCAGCTTTTGGGAGAGGGGAACAAGGGATACTGGGCAGCCATGGCCAGAGCTTCTATATTTCTAGGGTTGAGCTCACAGCTCCGAAGCCAAATCTTCTCTTCGAAAGCACCAGGCAGATTCAGCTGCATCAGGGACACGTGCCTTGCCCCCTGCAGAGCTGGGCAGGGATGGTAGGCCCCACCTCTCGGAAACATCCCTCCCAACACTGCACAGCCCCAGCACCGCAGCGTTCACAGCAGGGAAGTGGCCCATAAGCCATTGGTGACCCACCACCGACCCATCCCAGGGGTCTCCGAGCCACCAGGAGCACAGACAAACAGAGCAGAAGGTCCCACAGGCAGGGAGCACACTCACCTACATGCAGGGCCCTGACTGCCACAGCTTCTGGGCCCACCTTTTAGGGGCTGCTTCAGACAGCCTGTCGGCAAACAACACCAACTGCCACTGGGCAAGACGGAGCTAGGCACAGCCCCGTGGCCTGAAGTGGTGGCAGCAGCTGCCTGCCAGGGATCTCACAAAAGCCCAAGCCCTGCGTGCAAGCACCTACCCACCTGCTGCTGGCTGCTGTGTGGCATCCTGGGCTGTTGGTGTGCCACTCTCCTGCTGCAGCGAGGGTTTGCCACCCTCGCTGCCTTCTTCCCCCTGGCCATCGCCAACGTGGTCCGGGGGCAGGGCTGGCACATTACTATCTGGGCTCTGGTCCATTCCCTCTTCTGCTGCTGGCCCTTCCTTCTGTATGGTGGAGCTTTTCTTTGGGGCCTTCAATCTGGTCTTCTTTACCTGCTTCAGGCCTGGCTGCAGTGGAACTGCCGGCAGAGCCGAGGGTTGGGTGGTGCTTTCCTCTGCAGGGGGAGTGCTGCTCTGCTCCCCGGGGTCAGGAGCAGGCGCGTGGGGCGACTCTGGGGCACCACCATCGCTCAGCACAGGAGCAGGTGTGGCACTGTCCTCCTCCAAGTCCCCAGGGTCTGTTTTGGGCTCCCCATCCTCTTCCTTCCATGTCTCTGCAGCCAGGTCTGCTTGAGCCAATGCAGAGGAGCCCCCAGGCTCGCTGGCCGTGTCCTGGGATGAATGGGCCTTGTACAGCCCCTCCAGGTCCTCAGACTTGTTTAAACCCATCAAGTCAGCAGCTTTGTCCAGGTCATCCAAAACCCCAGGTTTCTCCAGCACATCCAGGACACTGGGCTGATCTAGATCAAGGCTGTTTGGTTTGCTTAGGTCGGCCAGACTGTCTGATTTCACCAGAAGATCCAAGTCCCTCTCTGAAGTCACTGGCTTGGACTGTTCCCACTCCATCTCAGGGGGCTGCAGGGCTGAGACTGGCTGGGTAGAAGCAGCAGTCTGGGAGGCCAGGAGATCCTCCCCAAACTCCATGTCAGCAGGGAGATCGCCAATAAGTGGCTTATCTGGCAGAGAAAGGGGGTCCAAAGAGCCAGGAAACTCACTGGAATCCATTGAGAACAACAGGTGACAACTGGGAACAAGAAAGATTTGTCAGCGAGTGAGAAATACAGCATCACACACCTCTCTTCTACCCCAGACACCCAGCACTGACCAGGCTGTAAGCAACCAGACCCCTCCATTTGCAGGACAGGGGGCCACAGGCTTCTGAGCAGGAGAGCTGCCTCAGTCCCTGCCTGGTCAGTAAGCCCTTGGGAACTTCCCAGAGTGCATCCATGCCCCGCTGTGGCTGGAAGCCCCCACAGGCTGAGTAATTGCACTCACAGCAGAGCAAGGCAGCAGGCTAGCACAAGTCACTCGCATGGCTGCTCAGAGGGCTCAGGCGGTCGTTGAGCTAGCAGCAGAATTGCTCCCCTGAATGCTGCTCCTGTTCCAGGAGCCTGGCCTACCTTGTCCCTCTGGAGGGCTCTCACCCACCTACCCATGTTACCATTTAATCCAGCGGTGCTCAACCATTTGGCCCTGCAGGCCAGGTGAGTGGCACAGAGTTGGTCTGTGGCCTGGACTGGGCCTGGTATAGCTTTGGCTGCCCCCTGTACACCCAGACGAGGCCCCGCACCAGCCCTGTGGGCTGGGATTAGTCCTTGCATTCCAGGATCAAGCCCTGGTGCCCTGCATTGCCCCTGGATCAGGCCTGTACCACCCGGGGTCCCCGATGTAGTGCACAGGGTTATGCCATCAGGCCCACAGGGCTCCTCACAGCTCTGAAACCGTGGTGGCAGGGGAACAGTCACTGCTTTCCACTGGTAAGTTTTCAGGCCTGTGGGGAGCCCCACAGGCTGGATGACAGCTGTGGGGGCTGAATCTGGCCTGCAGACCAGGGCCTGAACACCCCTATTTTAAACTGGGAAAGTTGGTCATCACACCAGATGACAAAGCTAACCTATTTAACGACTTCTTTGCCTCCATTTTCCTGAGCAGGGACTGAATCAGCCCCCACCGGCCCCCCTCAGGCCCCAGGGGAGGCACACCCAGGCCAAGGGTCAGGGAGGGAACATCTGGAGGGACTGGACGTGTTCAAATCAGCTAGTCCGGACGATCTCCACCCCCGAGTGCTGAAGGTATTGGCTGCGGTCATTGCGGGACCCCTGGCACGGCTGTACGAGCACTCGTGGTGCTCTGGTGTGGTGCCAGAGGACTGGAAGAGGGCCAACATGGTTCCCATCTTCAAAAAGGGAGGAAGGAGGACCTGGGGAACTATAGGCCCGTTAGTCTTACCTTGATCCTGGGCAAGCTTTTTGAGAGAGTTATCCTGGCACATGTCCACGAGGGGCCAGGGGGGAGATGATGCTTAGGGGCAACCAACATGGGTTCATTAGTGGCAGGTCCTGTCAGACCAACCTGGCGGCCTCTATGACCAGGTCACCAAATCCTTAGATGCAGGGACTGTGGTGTCGACACCCACACAGTCAGATGTCGCCAACTGGCTGGAGGGCCGCATCCAGAGAGTGGTGGTGGA